TAAAATTATTTGGAAATTAATTTTGAGAGACGCATGCGAATCGTCAGTCACCCGAAGCCTGAGTTCGCGAGCAGGAGGAGGGTGGCCCTTCGCGAGGCTAAGCGGTTGAATTTCTCATCGACTGCAGCAGTAAGCATCAAGCTGGCGGTGCGTCGCCAACGGCGTGTCTGCTGTAAGCTGGAGCTCAAGCAGACAGAAACACAACAACACAACTCAGTAATCCGAACTTGGACATATCAGGTATTATTTAAGCAAGTATATAATAATAACAAACGTGCCTAGTGTATGGTTAGCAAAGTACATTTTAATTAATAAGCCTGGACGCTCTGTTGTTTGATCCTTTTCCCTCCCCTTTATTGTAACAAGACGTTTGCTTTGTTGTGAGCGAGGTTATAATACCTTTTTTGTTATTTTTAGGAAATGCTTGCAGAGACTGAAGGACAAAGTTATGCATGTCCTTCTGTTGGACTATTACGAACGCCCGAGTCTGAAGTCACCGGCGAAGATGTGAAGCCTAGAGTTGGTCATAAAGACTGCGGTTTTTTCATTCATGTCCTGTCTGGCCTGCCTGTCTTTGACTTTGATGCCAGTAAACTTGAACTATACTTTTCTGGCTACGAGGCTTACAAGGAATTAAAGAAATGTGTTCCTGACTGCAGCCTTATGCAGAGTGGAACAGTTACTTCACATGTCTGTACCAGCAGTAGATGTTATTTTGTTGTGGAACTCCACTCACCAGTTAATTGTCATGCTCGCTCAATCGAGCCAACTGAAGTATTTGATTCAGTTGAGAAAATAATCTGGTAAGTTGGTTGTGGAATATCTTCAAAGTTCCGTCTGTGTTTAAAAACTTTGTAGTGGTCTGCTGATTTAACTTCCTTGACCAAACAGGTTTACCGTCTCCCAATCTGATGCAACGTTTATCAACACTCTGGTTAGAGACAAACTGAGATACCTAATTCAACCAGTGAGGTTTCATAGAGGTGTTGGTAAATACAGTTCAAGTTATACTGATGCATCATTTCATCAACAGGAAACGGTTTGTGTGAATGTGGTATGTGTCTTATTTTTTAAGTACTAATGTTCAATGCACTTGTTTAATAGTACTCCACAAATCATTTTACCAGATTTCTGCTGATGGTGGAGAACTCAAAGGTATGCTTCCTGGAATTGGTGCTCAATCTGTTAGCACTGTATGTAATGCTTTGAAGGTATCGCAAGACGTAAGGCTTGGCATCACTTCAAGAAATGGGTATGTTTGAATGGTCTTAAAGAAAAAATATGTTTGCAAAGTATTCTGCAAGCAGCAATTTTTAATTATTCGATTCTCATGCAGGAATGCAGAGGAACTCATAGGTAGGCTTGCACGTGAACTGCTTAGCATCTATGATGTAGATGCACAAGATAATCATCAGTCTTGGGTCGATGCTCCACCTCCAGAAGCACAAGTGCTTGGAGTTTACGATATTTGTTCCAACAGCAGACTTACTTCCCAGGGTTTTAAACTGCAAAGCATTGTACTGGTAAAATCCTTCAATTGTTAAACTGTAGATGTAAGGGTGATTGCCAAACCTGACCCATTTTTTTATCCCAAGTTGATGACAATTGTTTAGATGAAATCAAGCCACACATTCATGCAAAAAGTGAGAAGAAAGAAGTTAATGTGGATTTTTCTCCCTTCATAAAATCTGTTGAGTGTGAGAAGAATAAAAAATAGATGTTACCGAACAAGGAGAAGAATGAGGATTCGAAACCCATGCCAAGAATATCAGTAGAGAGACGCCTTCTCCTGGAATGTCCGTTGTGTGGCATGCCATTCAGATCATGTAAAAATCGATATCAGACCTTGGTGAGTCACATCAAGCGGAGGCACGGTGATTGCCAGAAACGACTTCTGAAAATAGTCCACATGAAGTATGTAGTGGATTCCTAGGTTGCGATGGCTAAAAGCACCAGCCAAGGAAGTCTTTTTTGTTTTACCCTTTATTTATTTAAATGAACTTTCTCAGAGTAAACTTTGCCTTGAAATGATGTACAGCAGGCTGCATGAATTGTAATTAATGACTCCATTTGAAGGTGGGGAGCTATTTTTTTAATTGTTGAAGCATTTGCTTATGTTTTTATTATCAATTATACATGTATCATGTACACATCTGCTCCCTATCATGTTTAGTGTTGATTTGTGTAGACCCAATAGTTTCAATATTGCTGATAAATGTCCCAGTTTTGATAGGTCAGGTGACGTTGTTAAAGATGTGTTTGCCGTCTTACTTTACTGTTCAGGGACTGGAGGCTGTGGTCTTCTCTCCCTCCTATGAAACAAAGCTTACTTACCAGTAACATATGTGCAATTATAAAAGTAAACTGGAAGTGGTCTTTCCTGTATTCATTGTTCCAACTTATTGGTGTGGTAAATATGTATGTATGTAATGATGCTGTATTTAATTTTGATTGTTGATCATAACAAATCATATTGCTTTTAGAAAAGTTATGAATTGGAAAACGTACCGTAAATTATTCATTGATAAAGAGCTCAGGTCAAACGTATAACTTAATTGCAAAGGGTTACAGTAGAACTTTCATGTCTTTTTATAATGTAACTTAAATAGAAAGCTTTTTCTAAGCAGAAGGCTGGGCTAAAAAATGTACTAAGTACTAAGTGATTGAACAGTGTGTTGTGACTGCCTGATTCAAATGCAAAATGAATGCTTTAAGCATGTATCGAAATTGCCCAATAAACATTGAAAACAAAAATGCAAGCACTCTCTTCATTCTGTGCCCGGTTCTCTATAGTTATTGTGGTCCTTTAAATAAAGATGGCATTAAGTGTAGCACATTCATAGTGCCTTGATTTGTCCCCACTGCCCCACTGGTGCTTACTGCAAAATGTACTAGTCGAAGGTACTTGTCACACATACTAGTCTTGCTCTCATCCCTTCCGCCCTCACAGTTCTTTATGAAATGCATATGACCATAACATGCATGTGGAGTGAATGAGGATTAAGGTAGCAACAATAGGGAAAAATGTGATTTTAAAAGTCTATTATAATTGGTTCCATTTTGGCATAGCTTCAAAATTAAACAAATGTAACAAGAGAGATGGTTGGAAACTCAGAAATCTTGGGTATGGAGCCAAGGTAATAATTACAAAGTGCGTAAAGATTTTCTTAAAAAACAAACTCACATTCAAACTTAGTCATTAAAATAAAATGTCTAAAATATTGGAATTGAATAATGTTACAATAATAATAATAAGCAGAAAATAACCAATGTCTCATGACCATAAGACAAACAAACAAAAGGGCAGGCCCTCTATTCACTTATAAACCTTATT